AACTATAACTAGTTACAAACAGAGATTGATTGTTTCATTGACCCTGTCCTCTGAAAATCTAAATCTAAATTCTAAAAAATATCTGCTGGGCATTTCTTATGATCTATGGAACCAGGAACTTGGTGTTGAATAAACAATTTTCCCTAATTGTTATTTTTCTGTTTTCCTTTTATCTTTCTACTTGAAAGTGTGCTGGTATTTTTGCAGGAAATTTCTTATGGTCAATCCTGGCAGTAAAGGGGTTACTATATTGAATACTCAATGACAGCAGAAAGTAACTCAGTTCACTTGCTAGTTAAGTTTCCTCTGTAGCTAGGATTAGATAGTTAAGGCCAAGTTATCCAAAACTGCGTCAACATATTTCCAGTTTCTTTGTGATTTAGTGACTAAGATTAGATCTCTTCATCTTGACTGAGATGTTGCTTGATCGCAGGTAACTTAATACCATTTTCTAAGGTTTCCACTCATACTTCCAAGAGGAAACAGGCACTGTAAGAGTTAAATGTCTTGCCCAATGACATAGAACCATGACAGGGCTGGGCTTGTATCATGATTGGTCAATGTGGAGTTCAGCAGGCTAGCAGTAAGCCACCTTCTCCCCCTTCTGCTATACCTCCAGTTAAGAGTCTTTGAGCCTCTTGAGTTTCTTTAAAAAACATTGAAAAAAAGAGTGCTATCCTGGCTTTAGGTTTGAGAAATAATCTCTTCAGCTGTTATGTTTTTGTTCTCAGAACATCTCAGCAGGCCTCAAAGCAGCCAAAGTACTGTCTCACCACCAAGTCGCCAGGGTAGGCGCAAGTCAAGTGCTAATTGGACAAAAGCTAGAACAAGTTTAGCTTTGAGTGGAGACCTTAGAAAGAGATCAAGAGTCAGGAAATGAGCATGGAACTGACAGCATCAGCGAGTGAATAAGAAGTTGGATCATAATACAGTTATAGCTCCCCTTCAGCATTTTTTTTTCTGATTCAAATTTTCTTTTATTCTGTTAAAGTTGACTCTTCTGAGCACATATTTATGCCTGCCATGGAAAAAGCCCTTGTAAACTTCCCTGAAACTCAATATTTGCATAAATTATATTTTCAATTCAAAGATTTTTTCATTCTTTTAAAGTTGAATCTTCTAAGCAGATATTATATTTATGCCTCCTATGGAAAGAGCACTTGTAAACTTCCATGAAACTCAGTATTTACAAAAATGACATTTTTGATATTGTTAATAGCACAGACACACACCTCCATATCTAACACATTAGTCATGCAGATAAGGGCTTCTTAGCAACTGCCTACCTACCCCTCCCCTAACCCAACAACAGTCAAGGGGTATGTGTGAAGTTTCTCAGATACTGACATCTATGTCAGATAAGTATATTGTAATAATGCTACTGTTACATAATATGGAAAAGTGTTCTGGTAAACTATCATGTCACATCCTTCAGCATTTCAAAAGGAAAATAACAATTGTCGATTGTGTATCCTGAATATAAACTCTCAAACTCACTTGGTCAAAATTTCATTTTTTCCAAAATTAACATACACTCTGACATTTCCATACAATTTATGAAGATAGATTTTTTGAATAACTTTATACAATATCAGCAAAGTGTGAAATTCATATTAAAGATATATTGTTTGATTATTGAAGATATAAATAATTTTCTTTAGTACATCTTCAAGTGAGCCTCATCCGTAGTAGTTTCCCCTGAATGTGAGCTCTTCATTGAAAAATCCTGTATGCCTGGCCTGCCCCGTGTCCCCATCTCTAGAAAATGTCCACGACTTGCAGCTGAATTGTAGGGATGAAGAACTGAAGTACTTTCCACTTAAGGTCAATATAATACAAAGACTAAAGATTTATTACTCTAGGGCAAAAATATTCTTTTGCATGGATGCAAGCTAGGAACACTAGGTAAGGCTAAACTCTCAGGAAGAAAGAGGGAAGTACCCTGATTTAGCCCCAACAGGTATTGGTAACTAGACATGTTACGGCTTTTGGGTGTATTTAGCCTAGCTTAAACAGGGTGCCTTTTCTTGACTGGAAGCCGTTGAAAGGGTGTAAGTGTTAGTAATGTGAAGTCCAAATATCAGGTGTCCTTCAATAACATACTGTTCGTATTTTGTGGCTGTATGTGGTACCAATATCTCGCCTTTACCCTCAGGGAATGGGTACCCCCCCCCAAACCCTGAGGGTTAGTTCAGATGGCTTTCGACTCCGAGGAAAACGCAATTTTTTTTGTACGTTTTGCGTTCAGTTTTGTTTTTGCTATCGTTTTTTCTTGCGCGCGAGCTGAAGCAAGCACGGTGCGAGTACGTGTTCTCCCTTCCCCAGTTTGATCTACTGTGATGAGTGATATTATCATTCCTAGCAAAGTAGGGTTACCCTTTACATGTTTGATCTTAAAGGCGTAGATGATGCTAAATTGTTCAGGACAACTCGGCAGAATTGACTCTTCTGTCTTCCACATCTGCTGCCTTCTCAACGTCAACAGGTGACAAGTCGTCAAATACGTTGGGCCTAACACGTCAAGTTTTTCCTATCATGTATAGGTATTTCACAGAAAAAAGGCTACGCTGGCTTTGTTACCAGATAGAGAATGGATACATTCCGAAGGACTTTCTCTGTGGTGGGAAAGCCTCTGACAAGAGACCTGTTAGTTGGTCTGGCTGAGCTATAATATCCAATATGGACGTCTTCGGACGCGGCATGAAAATTCTGATCATCGACATTGAGAGCTAGAAGAAGGTAGCGGACGACTCGGTAGTAGATGGCGCAGTGTGCTTTGCAAACAGCTGATGTTGGGCGAAGAGAAGATCTTGAGCCAAGCGGAAGGAAAGCACTTGGGGAGATCACCTCACCACCAGCCACATCTGCCCTTAATGCAGTACAGAGGACTACCATTCCCACATCCGACTTTACAGCCATAACTGAAGTGAAGCCAGTTGCGTTGAATAGCTCTCTGTCTGTCTGTGACCTCGCCTCCAAGGTCGGATACGATCGTCTGAAGCCTTCTACGTGTCTACAGACGCCGCTATAACAGTAAGGCACCCAATATCCTGAACCTGTTTGGAGTAGAACCTGGAATACCGATCACCGCTCTTTAGGAGGAAACGCCATTTTTCAAGCCCTGTTGAGGAAAAATTTTCGCGACGAAAACAAACTGCACGAGTTATCCTCAGTTGGCCAGACGGGTCAGGAAAAGAACGCCTTTAACATTTTTTCTTCCTGATAAGATATCCGGCATAAATAAAATAAGACCTACCGCATCCGGAAAAGCTTTTCAATTTGCACTTATTCGATAATACCCTCTCAGCCAAGGGAGGATTTTAAGAATGCCGACAAATGATGGACTTAGTATCTTGCCAGCAGAAAATTATCTTGCGTTGACTGATGAGTCGCTACCTGGTTTGAATTTGCCGTAACCAACTTCATGGGATGAGACCCCTACTGATCTGATATGCGCTGAGTCGCGATACATACGTTGTTCAGTTCGGCTATGTTAACTTACGTCTCTTTTGCATTTGTTGTTTGGCCGGACGAGATCAAAAAAGCGGCTTCTGAGAAAGTTATGTGTCCCGTATAAGGGGCAGAAGCCCCGGCCCCGGATAAGGGGAGCACCCAGTCTCCGTTTAGGACCTGTATGGTTCTTGTGAAGAAGTTGAATTTCCAACGACACCACATGATGATCCAAATACTCTGAATGGTTTGAACGTGCGACTAATCATGACTTTTGCTCAGTTGAATTCGAAAGGTCAGTCACTGTTTCCAACAACATTCCTCTCTAGGGCTAACCTTATAGGACAGGGATAACACTACGACAATCCAGAAAATTTTGAAATTTTGTCTGTGTAAATGTAAAAAGAAATTGAATGGAAATAGGCTTTTAGTTGGAGCAATTACACAAATACAGGGCCACCGAGGTCCACCTTGTCGGCATACTTTGACACTACTAGCAGATTTCTGAAATGACACGCAACTCGCGTAGAATTTGGCAAGCACTCTAGAGAGCATAATTGAGCTCTAAACCAATTCAGTTACTCAAGGGGAAAGTCGCAGTTTTTTTCCTTGATACTATTATTGGAAGATTGAAACCATTTGTATTGTGCTTGGAGCGTCAGAGTAAGGGAGGGAAATTTGTGAAGATTAAGTTCTCTACCTTAACTCACCTACAAACACAAGGATCCATTACCTTCCTATCTCGAGGATTCTTTCATGCAAAGCTTGTCTGCGCTCTGCACAACAGACGTTATTTCTGTCGCGGTTTTAGGCGAGCGGGGTCGAGAGCAGAGCGTGATTCAGTTACCCATAGAACGAATAATAAAACGTTATTAATGGACCTCGCTCTTCTTTACCTTGTGCATTTACGGGTTGGTACCTTCACAGCTATGCATGTGCCGTCACGCTAATTACTTCACAGTAACTTCACGCATTGTCACGATCACGCGTTACGCTAAGTTTTATCTCATAGTTCACAACGTGCATCGCACCATGAATGATTTATGAATCTCAAATCGTTCTACCTTTTCGTGGGATTCCCTCATTAAACCCGGCTCCAGAAGAAGCTTATTAAGGTAGGCTCGAGTTGATACAGAAGGTCTTTACAGTGGGTAGCTTGATTTAGGGCTTTCGATTGGTGGGGTCAAAGGAAGATGAAGAACCATTTTATGCGCCCGTCTAAGAGGATATTCTCCTCGTGAGTCTTCTCGTCCTATTCCTCCGTTCACTTGTGACCCCAAAAGGACGCTTGCAAACTTTTTTTCAAACAGGAATTTCTGAACCTTTTTAAAATTTACCTCTATTTTTCCATACGCATCTAAATAAGGTCGTATAAGAGAGAGTGAACCTGTTTGTCAATAACTTGTGATCAGACGTTTCTTCCATTGGGCTAGAGGTCTGGGGAGGGTAGGGGAAGGAGTGGTAAAGCGAGAAAGACGGCATTTTTTCTCAATCACAAGCTATTTTCCCACGGATAATTTTCTGCTCGAAACATATCTGAAGGGAAAAAACACATGATGAAAAACAAAAGAACAGCGGGTAACCGTCACTTGTCAACGCGCGGATTTTGATCCGAATTCCAAGAAACAGACTTGCACAAACAACACCCTGTGTACTTTTGGTCGTCTGTCTAGGTCGTGTAATGTGATGCAAAAACATTCCAGTCTCATTTTAAGTGGCGGAAAAGGAAGAACGATAAACCTCCTTGAAATTGCCTAATCTTTTTTTTATTCCAGATAGTTTTTCAATCTGCAAGACAAGTCTTTTTCTACCTACCTACGGGTAAGTGCCCTTTGAACTCTGGGCTACCAGTCGCTAATTTAGTTTTCGTTGTTACTCAAGATTCCCTTTGTATCACCGCCAGCGTGTTGAAAACAGATGTCTGCAACCTTTCACACGATTATGTACGCTTGGTCTGGTGGGATATTTACCAACTTGCTTGTTTTTTTGTCGGAAATAGATGAATTTTTTGTTTTGTTTGTTTTCACAGGCAATATATAGATGCCCGCGGAGGGCCAAATCAATTCTGTAGTCCTGAATAACCGTCGAGAATCGATTGCGTGCAAGCTCAGAACCTTTTTTATCGTCAATACCGTAAATTATGTCAAATATTATACTTCCATGTGACCAGTACAGGTTGGTGGGCGATGTGTTTCGATGTTAGCTGCAGTTTGTCTTTAACACGTCTGCACCTCTTGTGTGCGTAAAAGCATAGGCAAGAACAGATCCAAGGATAAACTTTTGTTATGCATTTTTGCAATTGACCCGTGAACTTACAATCTCTTTAAACTAGACTTGTTTTATATAGAATTCACGGAGCTATCAGAGGAATAGAAGAGTTAGCAAATAAAGTAACCACCCAAATAAATTTGGATACCGGAAACATGATCAGGAAACGATAATATTTACAAAAGCCATACCAAAATTGTAACGACGAAACCTCAGGAGGACGGAAGTGCACTTGAAGATAAAAATATTACTGCCAGAGACCTTCGTGCAGTGGCACCTTATGGAGTTGATGCAATTATATTCAATTGATTGGCTAATTTCGCAAGTCGATGTTTTTGTAACGCAGGTATTCTTTAGTGTAATCCGTGATAACAGAACCCAATCTGTAAATGGTCGCCTCTTCTGAAAGAAGACACGCATTATCAATCAAAAGAAATGTTAACAAGTAAACTCGATTCCGTATGGATCAATGAGAGACAAAACCCAGCAGGTCGTAAATCACATCAAAAGAAACCAGACTAGTCAGCCATTTCCGGTGGCGGAGAAAAAAAAAAGTCGTACCGTTTCGCGAGTATCACTTGTTTCCCTATCAGCTCAACTCTCGATTAGAAAAACCCCCAAAAATTCGAGACACGTCCTTGTGTTATCTTTCCCTCCACACACAATCAACGCGATATCAGAACCACATCGATCAGGCTTGTTCAACTCAGCGAAGCAGAAAGTTATTCCAAGACAATTGAAAAAACAAAAATGCAATTGGTATGAAACCTTTATCCCGACATTTGCATAGTACAAGCGAGCGTCTCGAAATGGCTGTTGAGGAAAGTGAAGTGGAGGTAACTTTATAAACCAAACACAAAAACATCCAAGCGCTGCTGGCGAAGTGGAAACTAATGGTTTGCAGACTTCAAATCGACGGGTTACTATTTACACTGAGAACAATTTTATTTCACACGTTTTGTGCGGGCGCGAGTTTCCGCTAGCGAGGTTAATCAAGCATAACAAGATCTTGCAAATACCGTATTAACTTAACTCCCGAAGCGGACGGAAAACCAGTTCGTGATGATACTTACACCGCTTCAAATGCCTTCCAGCAGCTCCTTTATCCTAACGATTACTTATTTGTATGACCTCCGCGGGAAGCTAATAAAAAGTTAACAGAAGTTGTTGCTCGAGAAAAATTTTTGGAATTCCAACTACTTAATACGTATTCCCACGGGATATTATTGTAAACATAACACAACACAAAACCCCAGTCATAAGTGTACTTTGCGAAAGAGGCTCTTGCGCGCATAAAAAGCTACAAAAAGTTTATCAACCGAGAAGCTATGCATAGTAAGTGCACAATCTCCATAAAACTGATCTCACTTTTGCTCGAAAATTAAAATTCGAGGTGTCTGTCGAAGAAATTCAAAACCTTGTTAAATGGTTCACCCAGCCAAAACATCGCCCGGACAAACACATTTATTCTCCTACACAAGTTTGATCCAATGAACTTTATTAGCATTTAACAACTTCAGAATAAATTCATTTTTAATCTCGAGATACCGAGCTTTGTCACTTTGGAAATAAATGAAATACAAACATCATTCACAATGTGGGTGTATGATACAAGAATTAAATCTTTTTCCCACAACAAAATACTGATCATTTACACCTTTTTTAACTTCTCTTCTCATATATTTATAGATATTTATAAATTCAAAGGCACTTTTACAAGTGATATAAACAAGTGTGGAACCGTTTGCCACACCATATAATATACATAATATGAAAAAATATTTAAGAAATTAGAAGTCTACGGAACATGTTGATGACTCTCGTTGCCTTTTTCTTGTCGCATTTTTCCGGAAAATACTATTCGGTTTAGGGTCTTCTTTCTTCTTTTCTGTCGATGTCGGCGAAGTTACGAGCAAAAATTCCAGATATGGTTGCGAGAGAATAATTGCAGCCTGAATCGACAGGACACGCTCTTGATTTTTTAGCGCATCGAACAGATCCCAGTAGACGCTATGTTCCCATAAATGCTTTGTAAAACACACCTTACTTTTATACAGTTTTCCTGCAAAATGAAAAAAAATATTTAGATAAACACAAAGGCACCGGCCAGCCGGCTAAGACAAGTCCTCCCTCCTACCTAAAACAAATGCTGTCGATATTTTACATGTCGCTAAGTTTGACAATAAAATAAAATCAAGAAAAATAAAGACAAATAATAAATAGTCTACGAAAGCTTTCAATAGAAATCATTTGAGGCTCTAGCTTTAATCGATGTACGATTTTTAACCGGTTTCGTTGCTCGAAAACGGAAAATTTTGTTCCATTGAAAAAAGTTCCGGGATGACGAAAGCGAAACACGAGGCATCTCACATGACACGGAGCGTGAAATTGCTACAAACTTTCAACCAAATTTTCATAGCTCTAAACACACAATTACACCGAAAAAAACCTCCAAATCAAACTTAAGCATCTTATTAAACAACAGGACAGAAACAAATTGACAGTCTCTTTGAAACTTTTTATAAAATGCAGGTCTCAACATAAACCCCCTCATAACTCTAGCTTATTTGTTTGCTCAGCTAAATAATTAGGGTGAAGCGTAGTAAAAATTGAAAAAAAATTCTTAAAATTTCAAATTTTAATGAAAAGGCACAAAATTACTGCAGATATCTTAGAATAGGCAAATAATTCAAGGTTTGCGTAAAAAGGAAGGTTATTGAGACCAAAAACCGTAAAAAATTTAGAATCATTCGTTTCGCTACTCTTGTAAACACGAGCGCGTATTTGAATGGAGATTTTATTTAGCGGCAGCGAATGTACGATTTGCTCAGTCTACGGCCTCAAATAACCAGAGTAATAATAAAACGTGAGAAAAAAATTGTAGTTACCACAAATAGAGCAGTTTATATCATTGCCTTCGACTGAATCGTATTCGCGCAAAACCTCGATGACTCCTTCGAGTTCCAATGTTCGCTGGTGAGGTGTTGTGCTCGAACTCCACTGATTAGGAAATCTTGCTTTCTTACGACGACCACCGGCTTCAACGCACTCCAAAACATCCCTGTTATCAATGCTAGATTCTGGCATGTTCTCGCATCTACGACGTTCGTGAATGAATCCTTCAAATACAGCGAAATCCGCACAAACTCTGACGTGGTGGGTGGGACGCTACAAAAAAAATTTTTTCCAGCCTTTCCACGAGGTCTCAAAAATACGAGCTATTTTGCATTTTGACAACAACAACAGAGTAGCGACAGGACACCTGATTGGTTCATCCATGAACAATGAATTAGAGTTGAATGGCAAACAGTCCACAGGCCCGTGTTCTGATTGGATTAAATGACAACTAGAAACACGTGACGAGAGGCAATGAATGGCTTTCCCGCGAAAATATATCGAGGAAAATGGCGCGAATAATACCGCTCAGCATTATGGTACGACAACAAAGAGGGAGCTTTGAAAATTTTACTGGAAGATCAAGCATTCTCTTAACATGAGAACGATCGCCCGCTTACATGCTATCGCGTGAGCTTTAACAAAATATTTATGTCAATTTTTCCTTTTTGGGGTAAGGCCAATTCAAACAATCACATTCAACTCAGGATTTATGTACGTTTTAAGTTACAAGAATAGTTAGTAAGTCACGAAAGGTGCGCGTAAATAAGGTAACTTCGCAAGATTTGCTACATTATTCTAAAAAGTGGCAGTTGAGAAAAATATTCTGAAAAACACCGGAATCTCCTGCAAGCACAGGATCAATTAGAGGGCACCCCGTTTGGAATTCGATCGTTGATGACTTGATAATCTGAAAACGCGAGAAACAAAATAAGATGGAAAATATAACGGATTGGGTAATGTGTATTTGGACACGATTTAGTGTGACGCGCTCTGGTGACTTGTGATTTGCACGTGTTCACAGGTAGCCCTTCTGAAAATAGTCCTTTGTTTATTGAGGACAAAAGTAACATTTAGATTGCAGTCATTTTCATTTATGATGACGGGTAACCCGCAAGAATTGAAATCTTCTTCGATCTATTAGCGAGGAACGCGCGTCAACCCATTCCAACATCTGGCTTAATGCCACTTTTCTAGAAAACCCAAAGTTGACAATTTTGGGCTAAGAACCAAGGATTATTTTCATCTCTGACAAAAGCTTGAAAAAATGACGAAGATAATCTATGAGAAGAAGCTGGGACTCATAAATCATCAAATGCTTCTACTGGGTGTCCAAAAGATTTTAAAAATCTTCGGTCTGAAGAAATCGAAGAAGGAAGATTTGAAAATAATTTAGTACCATTTAGGCTCTATTAAGCGGGAAACCAAAAATAAACTTTGAAAGTAAAGAAACAAAAAAGAGCAAAAGAAATGTAAAGGAAACCAAGAAAAAATGTATAAAACAAAATTATTTTAAGCTATTGATGAACACAGCTGGATCTTTCACAGATTTTCACAATGAATCTCAGAAAGCAATAGATTTCGTAATATTTTTTTCGTTATTGTCTGGGAGAGCCATTCAGACCAAACGGACAAAGCTGTCAAATATCCACGATACCAAACACAAAGCGAATTAAGGGAATTTTGCGAAGGAAAAAAAAATCAATGGACAAATTTTGCCAGGCTGTGTTTCACTTGTAGTTATCGACTCATCGGTTTATAAACGGTTAAAAACCGAAATTTATGGTCAAATTTCGCGACAACACCCCACGCTGAACATAAGAAGAAATAATGACATTCCAATTTTCAGACAGTACCATGTCTGGCTGCTAATGGATTTTAGCCATGGGCTGGTTGATTAACATAGAAGTACTTTAAAATTTTACCTCAAGGCAGGTGTTGCGGAAAATTCATAACAAATAACTTCGACGATCACCGAGTTGTAACTACCAAAAAACTAAAGGGATCACTTGCGTTTACATCAAAACACCGTTTTCAAAGAAGACACATTTTTTTTCTCTGTCGTCTCAAAATTCCGACCGGCGCCTGCCGAAACTCAGCGACGTGTGCCATACAAAGTGATTTTAAACCACCATCGAAACATGTTTTGGTTATCAGAAATATTATCAGCAAAGTATTTCTTATCTTTCTCTGCAAATAAACTTCAATCTGCTTTTCAATTACAGTGTATTTATATATCGTGAAGTGCTTTTTTCAAGTATATGACAGCTATAATTAAATCAGACGAACAGGCTCTTTCAAAAAGTAAGATGTTTCATGAATTTATATGCACAAGATCAGAAAATTTTTTATCAGCGGCAAGAACAAGGTCAACGTTAATGCAAGGTACGGACGGGGTTGAAAGCAAACGCCTCCTTTTTTTTGTTAGTAATTGGCGACAAAAATTATGAGTTCTTATGTTCTTGACCTGAAAGGCGGCACTGTGGTGGGAACATGAAACTCTTCAGAGCCTGAAGTACACATGCTAACTATAGTCTAGGGAAAAGATTCGACGTGGCTAGTGCGTGTACGCTGTTAAAATTGTCACCTGACAAATCGCTTTTTCTTTGATTTCGCGTTTTTCTCACTGCCTAGTTTGTTTTTTACGTTTGCAGGGTGGAATTTTTTTTTCTTTTGCATTAACAAAGTATATTTTGCATTGCAATAAATCACAAAATAGAAAAAAATAAATAAATAAATGTATAGAGAGGTAGATAAATAAACAATGGATCATTAAAATTGTCGTGTTTTTGCATAATCATTGCCGTACATCTCACTTAACCGTCATCAAAAGGAAACACTTGAATTTTTCTGACATGCAAAACCCCGGCCTGAGCGCCTCTAGGTAATTAAAATCAGCACCCGAACCAGGCTCTTCTGGCGTGACAAGGAATAATGTCAATACTCCTGCCGGGATAGGGTGCTATTCCATTGGAGGTTTCCCCCTAGCCTTCCTACAAGTTCTCTATACAGTTTTTCAGTTTTACTTTATACTCCTGGATGGAAAAACCACTTCCATTTATTCTGAGAGCCATGAGCAACTGCTTTCAAATGTTACCCCCGTTAAATTAAGTCTACTACTACTACTAATACCGCTGTGACAACTACGATCCTGCCCAGGAATATAACATAATGATCCTACCACGCACTCGAGGCAAAATTAATTTTTTTGAAGGTGTGAATCGCAGTAGAATTCCGCCTCAACTTGTACATCATAACCTTCCAGTAAACAATGGGATAAACGTGTAGCTAGTTGGTATAAAATTTCTGGTCCCACTCAAGTAAATTTACTCTGCACGAAGAAGCAACGCGCATAGCTTGTGGTGGCCTGAGTAGCTTTTATTACCTCAATTGGAAAAGTATTCGAGAAATTTTGCAGTCATGCGATAGCCTAGCAAGATATACCGCCGTTTGAGATAGAGATTGTCAAGAGAAACTGTTTCATCAGGATAAACCCTTTCGCTCCCATGAATGACGAAAAAGTAATTCATTCCAGTTGTCATATGTGAAACCTAATTGGCTTTTCCATGATTAATCGTAGTTTTTTTTTTAATAGTTCGTGTATATGCGTGCTTTCCTAGTCATTCCCCTTGTTCGGGCAAACTTGCCAAGTTTGAAGAATCTATTTTCTGGTGTTTATTTCCCTTCCGCCTCGATTAGCTTCTCTATTTTGCAGGTTGAGATTGTTAGATATGTATTTTAATTGCCAAGGTAAGTAATTTTTTTGCCTTTTTCTTGTTATTTCTCCACACGACATCAATCCATTATGAAGCATCCAGACATCTGCCGGGGCACACTGAATGATCACAAAACACCAAATGCTCACAACTAATAGTAAAGAAATGTATGATAAACTGTTAAGAGAATTGCTCTCGAGATCTTAGGAGTAAAAGGTGAAAGAAAGCTATCCTCGGATGTGAAGACTTGAAAATGCAAGTAATCGTATCGATCTTAAGAATGTTGCAGATGTTGTTTACTTACTGCTTCAGTTTTAAACTGTCGTTACTCTTACTGAAAATATAACGAGTTATTCAGGTGTCGACATCTACTCACTACGCGCAATTGGCAAATTACCCTAAGCAAATACCTGATGATTTAAAGCGCGGAATCAATTGCCACTTTCTGATGATTTAAATACAATAATGTTTTACAACAATTTGACTGAGGAAATATAGGAAAAAAGGGTTTTTGTATATGTACACATAGAACTGAATCCTCGCGACTTATGTAATCCAGATTCCCTGCACGGAAACATTGTCTGAAGAATAATTTATTTTCCATTTATCGGCCGCGTTCTTCGTTTTTTTTCCCCTGGAAGTGGTATGCAAAGCAAAATCAGCTTAGGTCAGCCTCATACCCCCTCGAAGGGATAAATTGGCACGATAAGTAAAAATACGTGACTCGAATTGCGCTCCTCGAGTCAATGATTTGTTGAGAGTTTAGGTAACATCTCACTACTCTTGCAAACAAACAGAAAGATACCTGCGCTAACTACGTAAGTCTATGTATGTACAAAAACTTTTAACCATGCAACCACATTCGCATAGGACCGGCTTCTCGGGAAAAAAAGAAAACTCCTGTAGTTTTTTTTGATCTTAGATTAAGAATTCACCTTTGGAAGAAGCTTGTGTTATAGAATAAAGAGGTCATGCCTTCTTTTCTTGCATGCATAAGAGATAAAATAGGAATTGTTTGGTCAATGAAATCAACAAGCGGACGCGATCGCTGCCAAAACAATATCACTCTCAGTACAAAAACAAAACAAAACCACTCTCAGTAGAAAACAGTACCTTCGTTCTCAGTAAAAGGGCTTACTAGAATCAGTATGAGTCAAAACAAGCAATGTTTGTCCAGCATACATACAGGAATGGAAGTACACCTTTTAATTTTCTTCCTAAAGAAACAAATCATCGAGATCTTCTGTTTGTTTTGGATAAAGCGGAATTACATCATGCGTCAAGTATGCGACAATGAAATGTCGCTTTCAAAGGAAATCCTGATATGATTGGAATTGAAAATTGAAACTTCCATGCTTATGGTATTTGTTCACCTTTTGTGGAGGTCAAAAGGCACCATTTTATTTCTCATCGATTCCCAGCAGGTGTGTGGGAAAACAAAATAGAGTGCATTCACTATGGGTAATTCAACCTACATACATGCATCGGTGAAGACAAAAATGCAAAACAGGAACTCTTCTCAAATTCTCTGTTTCAATTTCAATCACATTCAATCGCTTTTTTTTTCTACGTCCCGATATTAGTAAACATCACCTTCAAACACTCTTTGTCTAGCTTCCAGCCCACTAACACTTTTACCCTGCAGACATGGTATAAACAACAACAATCGCATTCAACAGACACCTCCATCATCTAATATTGTAATAGAGAACCTATCTTGCCAGCCAATATAGGCAAGCCTAGTTTGACTAAATTGCGTAAGCTTTCTGTATAGAGAACCCGACTTTTTCCGAAAAGGTGCCGAAGGTTTTTCCGGAGGCATTCGAAGAGTTCCGACACAACCTGCTCTTCAACAGTTCCCTCCACTAATAAGGATCATTGGGAGAGCATCATCTCTTCATGGATTACTCCGACTTTATTTCGTTTTACAAAAGTTAGGAAATATGTCAAATACGCAAAAGGCAAAAAGGTGGCTATTATAGGGTATAAATTCCGATCTTTGATTTCAACACTTCCGGAACAAGTCATGAATTTCGATATAAAGAGAGGTTTCGAAAAATTCCACTCCACATTCTTATCAAATAAATCAGAGCAACATTTTTTCAACGTGAGTAATGGTGTATATATGTATATATGTATATATATATCCTGCTCTCCCCGTCAGCTCTCAGACGAGGTTTTCAACTCCTGTTTTGATAATTAAACACAGATCCTGCATTCTAACCATCGGGTTAAAATAAAAACAATCGGTTAGAACATCTGAAAGACATGTGAATACCAGCGCATCCAGACATGTTACACTCAGGAAGATCCCGCGTGGAATTTGATTCAATGACAAAATTATTTGCTGTCAAGGGCAATGCTGTTTGCAATCGTGCCATACGCCTTCTGCTCTGCATGCGTGAGTATTTGTTCAGGCAGGAGGATTCTCTAATCACGCGCTAAGAGGATAAATCGATTGTACACCAAGTGAGAAATTTTTTTCCTCACGAGATCTTCAATGGTTGACTTCATCTAAGAAGTCACGCAAACGATGAATTTTCCCCATCCATGAGCAAACATAGATTTATTTACTACACTGGTTCACAATAACCATTGCTAGGAAGACGAGCTTCAATACTTTCGCTTTTAAAATTTTCGACACTTTGAGAAATACTCATCCGCCAAATCTTGGGTTTAAAGATTTAAGTTGACCCCTTTAGCTATACAAACATCCAAATTTAAACGGCACTAAAATTAATCTGCTAAAACGATTTTTCTAATTCGTGTGGAAGGATCAGTTGGAATTGATTCAAAGAAAAACAAAAGTGGCTCTACCGTATGTGTTGTTGAAGAGTACCTAATGATGTCTTCTAATTACCCTTTCACCTCAGGTTAAACCTTAAAGTTAATTAAATCCTTGTATGAGGCTGAAAAAATGGAAATCTTGTAAGTGGTTCTTTCATGAGGCCATTTTTCCTACGGTGTACTAGAAAGCGAGAATCTCAAAATTGATTGGGAATGACGCACACGGAAATGTAGCCTACTTTTATTACATTCACGAACCGTGAGCCTGCATCTTGGAACGAGATGTTAACATGGTTTTGTTTCTCTTGGTTTGTCTTTCAAGAGCTTGTAAAATGGATTAGCGTAATGTTTTGAAAGAGAGTACTTGACAGAGTTTCTGCTCGGCTCTGTCAAGGGATATGGTTAATCTCTCAAATTTAGGCAACAAGAAAATCACTTCATTCTTTCACGTTCTTCTAAACAAAATAGAAATCTCAAGCACATTAAAATTCCTCGAATCACTTTGATCTTGTGGTACCGTCACTGTACTTCTCTTGGAGAATCAGCAAAAAATACCACAAAACATTATAGTAATGACAGCAACCAGTACCTTATTCTTATATTATATAAAATACGCAACTAATTTATTTGTGTAAAAGGATTGGCTTCTCATCAGTTTTGAGAACAAAATTTTTGTCGCAATACTTGTTACTTCGAAGTAGCATTCAGTGGATCGTCAAATATACTTGGTACATCGTCATCGAAAATTGAGGTTTTAGGCTTTTTATCTGTTTTCTTCTTGGCTTTTGTCGCCGTTTTCTTTGGCGCTTGCTCATCTCCTGTTGTAACGAATTGACGAATAAATGATTACATAAATACCACAACCTTTAAATGTACACCTTGGAAAATTGAGAGGAAAAAATCTAGTAGGACTTTCAAGGTATCAAAATTTAATATAAAAATTCAGAATTTTTCGGGGTATTCAAGGATCTCGTTATAAAGCTATTCGATATATTTCGGAAATGACATAAGCAACATTTTCCCAACAAGAGTAATCAATATTCACATCATAGCCACTGTTTCTACTGTGGCGTTGAAATGTTTCAATCTGCTCTCCAGACGACGTTTTCAACTCCCGCTTTGATAATTACAAACAGACCTTGCATTGACTTAAGTGGCTCGAACATTAACTGGTCTCCGCACGAGAAATAAGCCCACGGACGGGGAGGGCTTGGGAAAGCAGGACGAAGACCGGACCCAAGAGCGACGGAAAACGAGCCTGCCAGATTTGAGCCAGCAGTGTACAGCAACCGCAGCAATCAGGAACCAAAACAGTCGATAAGACAAGAAAGTCAACAGTAGACCCGTGGTTATTAGAAATGTTCGGATAACGAATATACGATGTTGAAAGCCTGAATATGGGACGATGACTACCGTGATTGGTTGAGAAGAACCTTTTAAAATTATCAACAGGCAATTTTAAGATGCCTGATTGGCCGACAAACTGGGTAAATGAACAGACAGTTGTCACAACGTTAACAAACATGCTGCGTGAAAAATCAGAATAAAAAGATCTCAAATCGAGAGTAGAGCTAAAAACGAGGTGTTACGCATGTCTGGCGGGCGTTGGATAAAACAATGCTAAGACCTCTGTAAGGATTCGTACCCCAGCCAACCCCGCCGAATTTCCCAGTCTTAAGCGCTAGTCTCCTTCCTATTGACGATTTTTTCAGGAACATGGAAGGCGACTTCGCTCTCATGTTACTCGGTAGAGCATTCTATCTCACCACAAAATTGGCGGTATCACTCTTCCTCGTATTTCTTCGTTAGCTCGCACTCGGGGAAAAACTTCATAAATCAATAATAGATAGATACTTTTCCGTTACAAAAACAATTACAAACCTCCAGTAGCCGCACCCTCAGCGAATATGTCGTCTTTGGGTGCAGTGGTTGCAGACTTTTTCTTTTTAGGTCCCTTGGGTTTGCTCGGAATATCGCTAAAGATGTCACCCGAGTCTCCAAACAAGTCGTCGTCTCCCAGCGGTTTCACGACTTTCTTCGGCTTTCGGGCTTCGGTTTTTTTGACGGAGAATAATTCATCGTCATCTTCCTGAAAACAGTTAACAAACGAGTTAAAAAGCAATCTGCGAGGAAACTCATACTATAGCAGAATAATTCATATTAAAAAAAGAAAAAACCTTTCAACTTCTAATACGAAACGTCGTTACAAACATGACTTACAAGTCATCAAGTTTCTCAAAAAGGAAACCTTCAGATAACACGTCATCAAAAACACAGGAAAACAACACAAAGGCATATCTGGACGAAAACGTTTTGAGTGCGCTGCGAATGTCACATATGTACGCCTTTTAAACAAGATCAAGAAAAACTCGAGCTGCACAAATATAAATTTAATTACAAAATTTTTGCTAAATGTTTTGAAAATATTTTTTTAAGCATGTCAACTTGATGGCGGAAGATATAAATACAAATGAAAAATGAAAGATCTCCCACACAAGAGTTTTTCTTCGCTGTCTTCACTGCAATAGCTCTTCTCCAAATTAAACGATACGTCGAAGCACTAAAGGTTTTTTTAGCGAGTGGGTGGGCAGCCATATGTTGATAACACCTGTTCCTCTTTTATTAAAAGCAATTTTTTACAAACAACTCTCCTAGGTTACCCTTGAAATTTTGTCACAAGCTTACAAACAGTTTTAAGCGAAATAAAACGAAGATTTTAAAAGATTTCGAAAATTTGCAATCTGTTGCTGCCGTTTTATATTTTCAATATCTATGTTTATAAATATATCTTATTTAATAAAAGTCACCTGAAAGTCATGTGCCCTTGAAAAATATAAATAATATATGGTTGTGTATATAAATATAGACATGAAATAAAAGGTCGATTATCGTCAGCTGCAAACTTAGATTAAAAACATCCAATTGAAATTACAATATAGACAAACAAACCAAAAAAGAATCTATTTGATGACGTTTCACATTTTTCGTCGGTGTATAAGCTGGTAGACATGTAAATGTTTTTCCCTTTCTCTTTGGCATAGCTGTTTTTAGTGTCAAACAGTTTACATATTGTCAGCGTTAACTAATGATTCCTTCTTGCAAGAAATCAGCCTTTGAATATCTAATAATCGTTCCAAATTAAAGCTGTTTTTCGGTACCATGGAAACAGGAACTACTCGCGAACCACGCAAACGACGGGGGACAGTTTTCATTTTCTCAATCCAAAGACCTCCCACTAAGTAATGGTTATCTTTATGTCAAATTGCTGTTTTTAGACCAAAATTAAGATGTCTTCTACCGAAAAAAAAATTCGGCATCAACTAATGAAAACATTTCACAACTTAATTTCACGCGAAATCGCGCTAGAGAAACACGTCCACGCGGGAGAGACGCGCGTTCCTTCAAGAGCAAAGTTGACTCATAGACAGTCTTAGTATACGCGCAGGCGTGTCTTTTCCCCTCCGATTCAAGCCTCAGTCAAGAAAACAGAAATGTCTCAGCGCTAAATAGTAATCTGTGATCGCATGGCAGAAGAAGAGGCTCGTTGAGGCAAGCAGTTGGGACGGGAACTCGATTTGCCGAAGGAAAAAAAGACAGAAAAGAAACCCTACAAAACAAAAACAACAAAATTTTAAAAAAAAACTAACGAACTCATTTACAACTAAGCCACAGATCTATTCCAAAAATAGTTCTTGTAATCCGCTCTTTTCTTACCATACCCCCGTGTTCAATTCATAATGACAAACGAAGAGATTCCAAGCCATCATTCTTTCAGGCTATATCATCCACTGAGAAAAATTCAAACTTGCATCTGCATCTTCGCAGATTTGCGACGACACGTTTTGCGCCTGTTATACACTTGTCTTTCAAATAACGAACAAAAACGACTAAAATAATCCCGCATGTACGTAGCCTGATGCACTGAGGTACTCCAGGTTCCGAGGACGAGCGAAAAATCGGGACAAGCAAGAAAAAAATGGAAGGGGGGGAAATAGGCTCTAGTTAGTTCGTTACTCCTTCCCAAGTCCTCGTGGATTTTCGCTTGCCTGCCTTTTCGTTCGTATGAGCTGACCGCGCGCCGGGCACAAGCTATTGCTATCGTACTTATGTGGAGGAAAATGTTTTTCTTATTTTTCCTTGCAGAAGCAGGTAAGAAAAACTTAATTGTGTAGCTAAATGCTTCTCAAAGGAAGCCAAATACTACTTACATCAAGAATTGAGCTTCCTTTCGTAACCGCCTTCTTGCTGGTCAGCGGACTTGCCGTTTTCTTCGCAGCACTGTCAGAAATAGTTTTTGTTTCTTTCTTGGCCGGTGCACTCACGGCAAACAAATCATCATCGTCGTCGCCGAGAGGGGAAGGAAATTTTTTATCCGCGGTCGTTTTTTCTTTCTCCCCCTTGCCGGATTTGCCCTCTTCTTTTCCTGTACTTGACGCGAACAAGTCGCCATCTGAGACTGGCGATTGCGCCTTTGCTGAAAGGTTTGCTGGAAGTTTGGCGGAGAGTGTATCTTTTGCAGCTATTGTTTTAGTTACGTTTTCACCGTCTTTAGGGACAGCTGAAAGTAAATCTTCATTATCTAGAGGCGAGGAAATCTTGGAGTCCTCTTTATCTTTGCTAGGCGTTTCCTTTAAGATTGCTTCAGATTTTCTCTCCTTTGTATTTGTCCCAGAAGAAAATAAATCATCTTCGGGAGATGTAGCACTAGGTAAATTTTGAGAAGAATCATTTGTAATTAATGGGTCTGCAGTCTTAGGTTTATTTTCCTCTTTTGTTTTACCAACAGAAAAAGGATCGTCTACATCTGTCTTGTTTGTTTTCTCGATTGAAATTGAAAATAAATCATCGGAGTCGTCCTTAAACAGTTCATTGGCTGTCGAAACTTTCGGCTTCGAAGAAACAGAATCTGAAAAAAGTCCCCCCGCTAAAGGGTCCTCGGAGACATCTTTTTTGACCCGCGTGGACCCAGAACTAGTGAAACCGAAAAATTCGTCGCTCATATCAGAATCCTTGGTCTCAGTCCTCGACGGTCGCTGCCCAGAATCCACTTCACTCTTTCCCAGTCCCTCTTCCGGAGAGGGAAATCCTCCCCAGGATACTCGAGCGCTAATGGACTCGTCTTCATTCGTCAATGTGCCAAAAAGTGATGCGTCCGAAGCACTACTCGTTGCAGCCGCAGCTCGACGGGCTTGGCGTGTTGGAGGACGGCGCTTGACTTGCACTTTGGCGCGAGCCTGAAACAAAATGCAAAAAAAATAAGTTGATGAAATGGAAACTAAAGAAATGAAATAAAGGAGATAAAAATCAGACATGGCAAAGGTTGTGATTTTTTCACTTGTCTTTAATAGACTCCAACACTCAAAACGTACTATCTTTATAATTCCACCTTCACAAAGGATGCTTTGCTGATATGCAAAGTGCATGTTACTTAAGGACCTTGCATATGACAATATGCAAGGTCCTTATGCATATGATACCAACAAGTTCTCTGTAGCTTAGTTAGCGACCAACCGACCGAGAAATTGAACGTTGCAGGAGGACTGGGACTTTTTTCCCCTCACTCGTTTCAAATATCAAGAAAACAATAAAATGAGTTGATTCAAGCGAACCTTGTTAGTGCTCTCCAAGGTGGTGACTTTGGCGGGCTCGTCAAATGAAGCTACAGTAGCCGGGGCCTCCTTCTTGGGCGGAGCCGCGCCTGGTCTCAACATGGCGGGATTAAAGGCGAGAGATTTCTGACAAGAGTAAAAAAACACACATTCAAATAAGTACCGTACACCGAGCCCATACGGCGAGTGAAAATTGTAGTCTACAAAATATTTACAAGTGCTTATTTAAATCATTTTGTTCCTTGAAAATAATTTACATGAAAAATGCATCACAGAAAGTCAGGACGGACGAATTTTGGCAGCGCGCACTATTTGTAATTTGTATTCGTATTACAACTTTGCCTTTGCACTCGTGTTACGCAAAAAATGCATTCGCTTTCAGCCCATCAGACGCGCAAAAAATTTTTTTCACGTATGTTATTACATGGATTTCTATTTTCACGAAAGACAAACAATGGCTTAGCTTCTTAAGGTTCAGTTAGAAGGTGAAAAGTTTCACTTGTCGTGTTTCATTCTTATAATGTTTCTGTGTCTTATTCCTTTAACCCTTTGCATCCTAACATCAGTATGCAAATTCTCCACACTGTTATTTGTACATTTCCCACACTGCTGACAAGGAGAATTTGCTTGCCAATCAAAAGGTTCCTTCCCTGATGATCATTTCCTTTATTCTCATGACCTTAATGTGCAATTCAGGAGTAATATTGTAGGGAGAAATTAGAAACTATCAAAGATCGAGAAAAAAAGGATGATTCAGCTATGATGTCACTCTTCCTTTCAAAGCAGATTAAATACCTGCAGCTTCTCAATTCCCGACCCAAGCTTCACCGGCGACGTTTTCGGGCTGACGCTTGAGGGGAATGGTGACAAGGCTGCCTTGGGTACCGGAAGTGGACCTGACGGCTAAAATAAACAGAGAAAGGCGTTTTTTTTCAGTTCTGGTCGGTAAACTGGTTTTAAAGTTAAGTGTGGTGTATACCAGTATAAAGGATAAGCGGTTTTGAACTGCATCGAGCAATAAATCTGTTTACATTCCGATATATATACATATAATTGTGGGAAATTGTACCAAATGCTGTAGGAAAGTGCTCAATACAC